TCCAAAGTGTTGCCAGGCCGATTTCGGTGTTCGGTACCCGCTAAATGAATGCCGCATAGGCGAAAAGCGTGGTCCAGGCATTTAATGCATGAGGCATTTCTTCATATCAGGCCCCTCTGTCATGCTACTAGATTCAATGCGGCGGCGCCGACCACTCCCTGATACCGCCTGATATGCATGTAGAAGAGTGAGTAAGATATGATGATGATTTTCACTGTAACATCTAGGTAAATTATATATATAATGTGCCTAGGAACGTCTTTTTAAGCATTTAGTATTAAGAATTAAATTTCTCTCTCATGAGTCGTGCTCGATTCAAAGAAGCCAGACTAGCGCATAAGTGCATCCGTGGTGGCGTGTCTGTGTGCGCGCGCGCATTTAAATGAAAAACAGGTACAAAAAAAAGTTAAGTCGTGAGTTCGCCAGTGGAGACTTGTAGCATAAGTCGACATATTGCTCTGCCCTACGCTGTCCTGCGATTAAGACTGCTAAGCTAAATGTCAACTAGTTGATCATAAATATTATCTCAGTTTCGTACCAGACAGGAGACCCTCATCGTTTGTCGACTGATACGTATTTCGTCATCTGTGTAAGTTATGGTACGATATGCCGTCTCCAAACGGCGACGGCAGTAGCAGCAGCAGCAGCAGCTCAACATTAACGCTTCGTATCAGAAACCAATCGAAAACACAGATGAGCTGAATAGAGTTGGTCAATTCTCATTCTACATCTGACTCAAGATTCACGAGGCCAATAGAAAAAGTAAGAAAGACGTCGCTGAGAGGATCAACTCCAGCCGCTTATCGCTGTGCCTAAATAGCATCATTTCGAACAACCTTGTTTCTACCTAGCTACCGTAGGTTAGAGTATAGCCAATATTTGTCATTCGGTGTGTGCTAGCTTTTTTTTTTACTATATATATATATATAACAGCCTTTTACCTAAGACATCAACGCAACTCGGCGTAGCTTATAGCTCACTCTTTGCGCCTGCCATCAGACCGTCGTCCATACAGCTGTGCGTTTCCTGATTAATAATATATCCTAGTTCAGGAGATATCATCCATTGCGTATCCTTCCGTTGTTTATAAGAAATAGAATATAGAGATTTGTAATATACAGCAGAGTCGTGCATATCGGATCTTTCTTTTCGGGCTGAACATAGGGAATGCAAAGCGCGAATATTTTTTAAACAGAATTAAATTTGAACCGTCCTAAATCGAAGTACCTGTCATTGTTCACTGTGTGTTAATATTTTCCATTACCCTATATAGAAGCCTAGTTGGGCTGTCCTTGGGCTTTATCCCTGTGAAAAGTTTATTCTGTGTAATTGGTACTCAGCTTTGCATCTGTTGTATTCTGGAAAAACATTACATCTAGCCGCTGTGTCTGAATCAGTTGAAGTCGCGTAGGAAATCAAAATGATTTTTCATCTTCCACAAAATTTCTCTATTGGGAAGACAAGTAATACGCGTCAGTCAGCTCTTGTGCAGGCAACCCGTTGCGCAAACATTGAGCGATTGAGGCTGTGTTAACTACTAGGATTGTTACCATTAGCTTAGGATCTGAAGAAAGTCATGATAAAGTGACCAAATGATGTGTTCAAATTTGATCTGTTTGCCTAGAGCTCTATGAGAGAGAAGCGACTGGTTACAGCTCGGCCGAAAGTAACTGCCACTCCTGCTAAAGTTATCTCTGTTGGTGAATTCAAGGCTTAATGTATATCCGCTGTGCACGTAGCTGAGTATGCGCACGCCTGTCCCATAAAGCTTTCGGACAAAAAAAGGAACAAAATCATACGACGAGCTTACTTTTTAATCGTAGCCTACAAAATGCCAGCACCGTTTTATTATGTAGTCTCGTGCCTATTGAATGCCAAAACTATGTTATTGTGTATAGTATTATTCAAATAATAGTAATAATAATATCCATCAATCATTCGGGTAATGGTAGGTACGCATGTGACTCGATGTTTGACAGAAGTGTCAATACACATCTAAAAATAGCAAAAAAGAAACAACGCACGCTCTTCTGAAGGTTTGTGCTAGGTAAACATCAATCAGATTTATCCTGTACAGTCCGTCGCCCCGCCGGACCTTTCCCCGCGGCCTGTTTCAGGGCCGGGCTCACTCGGCTGCAGTCGCCACCCACTACTCCAGCTACTAGAGCTGTTCGTATAGCTTCATGACGCAGCGCGCTCGGTACCCTGCTCTGCTATATTCATTCACTGTTATGTTCTGTTTTTACGTCGGATGCCGGCCGACGCTGCTGATGCGGATCTTGATAACGAGGACAGCGACGGCGGCGGCGGTGGCGGCAGGAGAGAAACAGAGGGAGAGGCCTATTTGCTTCTTGGCAAGCGGTGCAGTTCGTCCATTTGTCTGGCTGTGCCTGACTCGGCAAATATGCTCTGCTTGCTTCAGCAGTTCCCTTGCCGTTGCTGTCGCTGTAGCTCCAATTGCTGCTTCCGCAGCTCCCCTGCCATACGCTCACAGACATGCATCTATATACGAACTTAGTCAGGTCGCTGATTTCGTCGATTTGCACTCACCGTTTCTGTACGCGAACTTTGGGAGGGGAGTCAGGGTAGTTGGAAGGGGGGGGGGGAGGGGGCTCGCCGTTGTCGGGAAAACCGCAGCAGAGGGCTGCTTTACGGCGGCGTCGGTGGCGTCTCTCTGTTGGCTTGTCATTCTCGTGTTCGGCGCCTGTTTTCCTGTCCGCTCGCTGGTTCGTTATTATATACTAGTTTGCCTGGTGACGTTGTCTTCATTGCTTGTAGTGATGGCAGAAACTCACCACTGTAGTAGACTACAAGCTACTTCTAATGCTGTTATAGCCGCCGATGCCGCCGCTATCCTACTCGCAGAGACGGGGGCGCCGGCACCATGGTCGCGATCGTCACCGCTGGCTTACAACTAGCAGCCATTGGTACGACGTCGGGCAGTCGCAGCACCGCCAATTCATTCGCGAGTTATTAGTTTTTCACATTCATCATTATAGTCATCATCGTTTGTCGTTTACTGTGTGCTCGTTCGTTCGTTCGTTTAAATACGAACTGTACCACTGGCAAGCACAATCGCCGGCGCCACCAACATCGCTGCAGGTTCGTTGGTACTAGCAGGCGGCGAGCTAGTCGACGGGGGCTGTAGTCGCGGCATGGGCTGGCGGCAAGCGAACATGGACGTGGACGGAGAAGTACGCTAGGGACGAGGCCATGCCTGTGGTGACGTTGGCGACCGTGGGGGATTCGCATCTGATTCTTCGGCTACAGCAGCAGCAGCAGCAGCAGCCGCCGCCGCCGCCGCCGCCGCCGCCGCTGCTGCTACGACGGGACTTCACTGGATGCAACGCAACACCAGAAAGCCATGCCATTAACTTCGAGCGGTAGATGGAAGAAACTGTGACTGACTTCGAGGGAAGCGAAACGATACAGCCTCGCTTACGTTATTACCATGTGCTGCTTGTCTGCCTGCAGTTTGTCTTGCTCGCTTCGCGTGCTTGCTTACCATTGGTACGGTTTCTCTAGTAGCTAAATGAAGGCAACACGCACACGGATAGACACATGAGGAGGGGGGACGGGGGTAGGGGAGGGGGGATCAGTAAAAGCGTATAGTGAAGGGTCGGGAAGAAACCGCGCTTGCTCCAAGCAAGAAACCAGGTAAGACACTCAGGTGGTGGCAAGACAAAACAGTAAGCAAGGAATCGTAGGCGCCAAGAACGCCATGCGATAAACGCAGAGGTAAATACAAGATGAACAACGTTCCGTTCCGTCGGCGTTTTCCTCTTTGGCTCTAGTGTTGGGCTTCTCCTCTGCCTCCCCCATTTTCTCTGCCCGGGGTCTTGTCTGCCTTTTTCGTGTTGAAATTCACTGCGCCAGCTATCGCCGCCGCCGGTGACGACGTGTAGTCCGTTACCACCCTCTAGAACACCGACGTTCGATACGATACCAGAGATGATGATGATGAGGTTGCCGAGTTGTTGGGCGCAAGTCGTGACGGGTCGTCTCGCCCCGAGGTATACCTACCCGTCTCGATACATACATAACTCTGTATATGTAATGTGGTGCGGAATTGCACAGGTACACGCCAGACCGGCGAGTGTCGTAGTCAATGCGAGTCGATACCGCCTCTATGTACATACATCTATGGCAAAAAAAACTCGATAGCAATTCTGCTTATTCGAATAGCAACTACCAGCTGTCGATTCTAGCTGTTGAATACGTAGCGTTATGCTTGATCTCATCCACTCATTTCAGAGATCTAATCCCGGTTGTTGTTGAGTGGCGGGGGGCGGAAGGAAGCGGCCGGGCAGTGTACCGCGAGCACTGGTGCGCACTTGGCTGCTTAGGCGATTTGTCACTGCGTGGCTGCCCGTTCGTTGCTAAGGTTGGCTGGCTTGATCGGAGATGCGTCGTTCTTGTGTGTCTTACGAGATGCCTTGGGCGGTTTCAGGCGCCGATGGCTGATGGTGATGATGACGAAGAAATGGGTGAAAAACATAGTCAGTGACAGTCAGCTCAAAAACATGCATACAGATCTCTCTAGAGATACATCAACTGACACATACTGACAAAGCGTTCATCGAAGCATCAACGACGAAGATGAAGACATGCGACAAGGAAGCACTGTTGATAACTCATGGTCGTTGTCGTCGTCGTCGTCGTCGTGGTCTCGACGATGGCAGTAGGGCTTGACTCGCGGTAAAGGGGTGTCCGATAATTGTCATGATTGATACCGGTGATGGATCTGGTGATGAGACCATGACGACGCTTTGACTACAAATTTAGAGAGGAGCACAAGTTCGTCCTTTCATTGTTTTGCTTCCAATGAAACGGGTACAATGTGTATGTGATCATTTGCGGACTAAGGCTGGCAAATGCTATTGGTATACCGTCGTTTAACAAACTGTGCGATTGCTGTTGATATGATTAAGGTGCCAACCTGTTAGTTAATAGAGACATACGTCCGTGGCGAAAAGAGTCATTGGTTCAGGAATCCATCGTCGAGATTGGGTCATAAATTGCTTAAGAACGCCTGATAAAAATACAGGCAACAAAATGTCCTTGAGCTTTCCGGCTAGCGCTTTTGATAGTCTCCCGATTAAGAGAGTAAAGTAAAATTCCTAAAAATTGTAGTAGTTAGGAACTCAGGGTGGGTTGCGCTTGAGATGCAAAACACGTTCATTAGTAACCACCTGGGTGGTCGAATTAATCGCTATATATGTGTAACTTCGTTGAGGAATGCATCAATTTCCGTTGTTTGATGAACATTTACTGCAGGGCTTGTTACCATCTATCTCCCATCCTCATAGCTCATACGTCATCGAAAAATCGAGAGGGAACATTCGGTTTACTAGATGTTGTTGGGTTCTCCCAAGTAGCTTTAATCTTTGGTACTACGAAGGTAGAAAAAGTTTGTCCGTGATCTATCAATCTCTATATTGTTAAATCAAATCTAAAACATATTCGAAATTCGTGATAATTATTGTAGACAACATACAGAAATACTAACGACACATATCCTTTGCCCTTGGGCTTGTGCGACTTACTTGTTTTCATTAGGTCATAATAACGAGAATATGAGAGAATGTGTAGATTTTTTTTCATAGATTAGTGCCTTGTACATTCGTGAGGGCTCGTGAGAGACAGGTTTTATGCGTACATTCGTTTGGCATTAGATATACCTTTCACCTGCCTGGCTGATGCCGTTTAACTCAGAGATCATAGGGGAACTCCGCCAACTTACGTCATATGCTCGAGTGTTTTAACAGGAAACTTTACGATACATTTTAAGAGAGTGAGTGATGCATCGCTGGGACGGTAAGTAAAATCTAGCTAACAAACAAATACTATTTTTTATAAATTAGTGTATACAGATATAGTTTGAGCTAATGAGACGTAGGCTCAGTTGCTACGAAACAGAGAACCAATTGAACAGTATAATTAATTTTCTGCTATTCATTTTTCAATTCCTAACACGTACGGAGAAGAGGCATACGGAACGACATACTGGGTCTAATGTGCGCCCCCGACTTCAATGTGGTTCCGTAAAATAGATGCTTTTTGATTTATTCGCAATGATCTCTGTTGTCTGTTAGGGCGGGAACTACAGTTTACGTTCTGTTTGATAACGAACGGATAAAATAAACCTCTTATGAAGCCTCATCTACAATCTATTAAACACGAACATGGCGGAGATGTCTGATCTACCTGAGAGATACTCAATGATTCCGATTAGTACAACGATGTGTAGCCGTATCACAGAACAACTTCAACCATATGTAGTATCTACTTAGAAACGGCGCCTGTCAACAGCTACAACCTTCTGGTCTTTGTAAAATTTGTCCCACAGGGAAGGTATTCGTTACTCTATTTTTACCTAGGTAAAACTACCGACAATAATGAACGGTTCAGTGCATCCGTGAGTCGGCTGATACCTCAGAGGCTTTCTGGCCTCGAAATTTAACAGATAAACAAGTTCACTAAAGTTCTAATTTAATTTACTTGCGTACAAATACGAATGCATGGAAAAAAAAAACTAGATTTATATAGATATAGCAATACAAACATCAGTTGGACTGTGTGTCGTCAAATATTATTGCTTATACATCTAGTCATATGAAATATCCTTCTCCAAATATTTATAATAATCATAAATTGTGTGTATTGACATTATTAAAAACGGTGTGTCGTCAAATCTCTTTTACAGCTATATATATAGAGAGAGAGATATCTGTCAAGTAAATTATCTACTTTTGCTTAGGGTCGACCTTATCCAGGGGGATGTCTTCGCGGACGATCTGCAAAGCAGTAACAGCAAAGAAAATAGTAAGAGTAAGAAGATGTCGAGAAATTCAAAAAATCAAAAGGGAAAGAAAAACCGAAACACGAGAGAAAAAAATGCGAAATACGCCAAACGAACTGGCAAGCAGCGCACGTCCGCCCGAAAGACGCACAAAAATCGCTCCTCAGATCGCTCTTTAGAACGCGTTTACTTCGATGCGGCTCACTCTTCCGTTCGGCGCCAGCGCAGCGGAGTGCTTGAAGCGCTGTTGTCGCTTGCGGCTGAACGTTTGGAGCAACTCCGTCACCGCGATTCGTGCATTTCGTGGTCGTGGTTAGATACTACAACTTCTACGAGTAGACGTTGTCATCATCTTCGTAGCAATAGTAGTTGCGAAACTAAGAAAGGACAGGCCAAAAAAATATATGTGGGACTAATAAAGGAGGGCGACGCGTCGAGAGGGGAACACCATACAGCAACGTAAAACGACCCAACGCAAGCGTGCGTGCAAAAAAGTTCGAGAATCAAGAGGGTGACGCAGGCCACACACGCCGACACGCGCTCACTCACTCATAGCCATATGCGCACAAATATATATACAGTTGAAACGGCAACGGCGAGTATCGTCTACTATTGTCACCCTTTACGCCTTCAGCACCCCCAAAACTTGTTTTCCCTCCCGTGGGTCGGCAAGTAAAGCCGTTACGGCCAACAACTAGCCACCTCCGTCCGTGCAATCAGATTAGCAAAAAAACATATATATGTAGGATTGTAGTCTATGCGATTGCAGTCGTAGGCGCCTAGCCGCCGGCATATGAATGCTAAGTACTGATAAACGCCTAGTTGACGTCATATGGTATTTTGGGGTGTTGTTATCTGTAGTACCCGTAGCAGAAAGCCGCTTGGTTGCGCTGATGGAACCACTCAGATTGATTGACTAAAGCATTTTTGAGGCCTATTTTGGGCCTATTTTTTTTTTAAGTAAAATTGGGATCGTAAAGAACACTCTTTAGAAGCACTTAGATTTATATATATGTAAACTGCAGAGATGTGCTATTTCTCTTCGATTATAATATGAGAAGTGTTAAACGCTGTACTTCACAGAAATGAACTACATGTCCAAGCTGCAATGTAAATTGGGTAAGAAATGAAGTTCTTCTTTGCTGCTTATGATATGTCTCTTTATGTAAAGTAATAAATATAAAGTACGCGCAAGTTGGTGTTGAGCGATTATGGTACACGATGACCTGTTGTAGCCTATCTGAAAAAAGTCTTCTTGGGCCTAAACCAAAACTGTTATCTGGTAACACTCGACCGAAAGGTAACTATGATGAGTGATCGTGACCATCTGAAGCATTTGTAAGCCCTCTTAACCTCCAGAAAAATGGTTATATGGATAGGCCGAAGGAACTGCATGACAATTACATAATTTGCAGTGGTCACCTCACGTTATACAACGTCGGGCAGGTTGTATGGACCTCTTCGACTTAATAATGTTTTAAATTTTGCCAAATGTCTAATCCGAATGCTTGAATTCGCTTCTAGCAGTTAAAAGCTTTGCGTTTACAGCGCTCGAGGGTATGCAATTGGGAATTATGTGAGCGGAGTGGCTCAACTAACTTTGTTAAAAATATCTACGATGTCTACATAGTCACATTAATGTTAGGACACTTCTCCTAAACATGCTTTCTACATAATTTACAAAAGATGTATACCTTTTAACACGATGTACTTGTGACGCAATTGATTGCTTTGTGGTGTCGCTAGATGCTCAAATTAGAAGTCCCCATACAGTAAGAGCGATACTGATTTGGGGTTAGGCTATTTTTCGTATGTATTACTTGCTAAAGGTCAATGGTATGGGTATTGAACAAGCTCTATACGTTTTATTTGAAAGAAAATGATAAAAAAAAAATGACTTTTCTCTCAATCGATGATAGATAGATCGCTCTCTGCAGACGAAGATCGATTCTTCTTTGTCTAAATCCTAACTCGAAAGCTGACGCGTTTCTATTCAATGAAATCACAGTATATGTTCGTAAATTATCAATGAGTGCCCACTTCATGAAGAGCGCCATTGTGAATATAGCAGTGGAACCATCGTTGATCGATCGCTGGTATTGAATAAATTTAAGACAGAAGCATCAGTTAGTTCAACTACCGACTACTTTCGATAGGATATTTAATCTGTGCTGCCATTGCGTTCCTAATCCGCAACAAAATTTCGTAAAAGATAGGTCTACTAAGGAATCCTTCGCCTGAAGTGGCAGCTTCCTTTATCAAGTTACTGAATTAACTCAAAGGGTGTTCGGTCTATGGCGTAACAAGATAAGAGCAATGAGATATTTCGCTAGCTCCGGAGCTAACTGTGACAAACCGCAAAAAATGGTCGACCTTTTTTTTGGCATTTTAAGCGGCCTTATTAGGAACAGGTCAGCAGAAAAGTCGACCGAAATTTGCCACTTTCAGTACGACGTCATTTAGTCTGATTTCTCCTTATCGAGTCCCGTGGAACTTGTGCAGAATCAGAAGCTAGGAACGTTTAAAAGTTCGATGAGATCCAAGCATTTCATTAACTGGACGTCTTTCAAAATAGTTTGTCCAGTCTCCTCAAGTACAGACCCTAGCACGGTTATGTTCGATCCAAAAATACAAAAGAAACCGACGTCCTCAACACTCGTCCGTTGTGAGATTTCAACGCCTTATTCGAGCTCAGCTTTAACTGAGAGAAAATGCTATTAATCACTTGTCCATTGTAGACATTGTTTATTCTATTAGTTCCGGAACCGGATCAGAGCCTATAAGGCCACATTAACATTAAGAAAACACTTTTTACAAAACACTACTTCAAACCAAAGTTGCGAATTCAGTGTGTCATAGTGGTCTTCCAGTTGGCTGAACAGAATCGCCGTCGCGAAAATTAAGCGAACGCTCTAATAGGTCTGCCCTAGACATCTGTAGCGGTGTGCATAGCTTGCCAATCAGTGATAAAGTTCGTTATATTTCGTGTTCGAGTTTCTAAATTCGTCTGCACTGAGCACGGGTCTAAATGAATCCAGCTTATAGGAATAAACGATAAGATATCATTACGGTTGGATGTATACGCGATCACAGTAAACGATCATGGTGACAATATCTCTTATAAGAAATAACGTTGCTATTGCTATATTGTTCCGTTCCAGTCAGTCAGTATCACTAGAGACTCAACTTCGGACTCAGTACGACTACTGAAATCCGACAATGATGTCCAATGATCCAATGGTGACCCAATGCGTACGCTTGATTCGTGTGTCTAATGCAAAAAAGAGGTTTGTGACTGCAGCGCCTATTGCGGCGCTGGCGCTGCGAGAAGTGACACGGGCGCTCCACTGACTCCAAGCAGAAAATAGGTACCCAGCTGTTTTTATTGCTGTTGCTTTAGGAGATACAATAGCGCCTGATACATTATGGTCGTTGTCACTTTCATCCTACAGGCTGTTGATGCTACTAGATGCAAACGGAATCACTTGAGGCTGGCCGGCTGAATCGGTTGAGGGTTACCTTGCAACAGTTTAATCCACCCTCTGATGCAACACTACATAGCGATCTTCTGTTATAGTACTATACGTAGACGCGTAACGACTCGACATAATGCAATTGTTGATGACAACAACACTGTGCTTATTTTTAGTATCGGATCCGGTAATCAGGTCGTAACTTGTTTCGTTGCCGAGAAACCCGTTGTGTATTATCAAGCTACCTTTATTAAATAATTGTATGAGATATGGAGGCGAGTCATTCTTTTTTGCGCGAAGATACAATCTACATAAGGAATTCTTGGTTCAGATCGGTTAAGTTACTCCTTCTTGCCTTTCCAGAGTTGCATTGTATATTTACGTTTCTTGAAAAAACGACGGCTCTTTCAATATCCTTCAAACCAGGTGTTGACAAAACAAACCTGTTGCTATTTGTTCCGACAAGAAGATATCTCTTGTGATCGTATCGCCAATGTCGCAAGCAAGTGTTATAGTTCGAGCTCTGATGTTCGTTAAATTAGCCATGAGCAATCGTATGCCGATGTAAAAAATAGGGTATATGTTGCCGTACATTTTAATATCATTGCGGATCGGACAGAGCGCATCCGGATTCCGGAGTTGGAAGACACCGATTTCAAAATAGACACATCGAAGTACAACAAGGTACGCTCTTTAAGGCAGTACGTGGACTCTTCCCATATGTAGACAGGCCGCGACCATGCCAACAGTTACCTACGAACATTTTTCCAGCAGAACGTGTTTCCACAGCGAGGAATGCCTGTATAAGTCGAAAATCGGTTGACGTGTAAAGCGGGCAATGTTGAAAATGACAAGGCAGGGACTGAAGGACGACAGTTAACCTGTTTATGCGGCAGTCAACTAACGTTGCAGGCTCTACTCATACGGATGGTACGCACTTACATGCTATATATGACGGCCGCTTCCCCAAATATCGTTAGAAAACCTAGCAAACTGAAAGGAACCGCTACGATGGGACGGAAAAGAAACTACCAATGATGCTAGTAATACCAAGGAAACAAAGATGGAGATTTCACCGATAGAAGACCAAGCCCGTAAGCACCTTGCGGTTTCGGTAGCAACGTCCATTGAAGCGGGAAGAATGAATGCGCCAGTGAGACACTCCAAACATATAGTGGACTGGAGACAAAACGCTTTTTTTTTTTTAATATAACGGCACCCCACGCCATTACTTGTTAAATATGGAGAGGTTACATTGCTTTACAATAAGAATCTATGTACTACGGCTATCCTAGTTGATAATGGCGTTAGCGTCGAAGATCAGTTGGATGCTCGTAGATTAGGCCACGTGGCGCCATTACGGATAAATCCTCTGCTCATTTTCGATATATGTCATTTTGTGATCCCCTCCACTTGAACCATCGCACTATGAGCCAGATCCATCTTGAATAAATTGTATCTATCTTGACTCAAGACTATTAAAAGCTCAAGAAAAGCTAGTGTAAAGTTTATCTGTTTTAAC